GGTGCGGGCGGGCCGGGTGCGGGGCGCCCTCTTCCTGCCGCCAGGTGAGCGCTGGCTGCGCGGGCGGGAGGCTGCGAGCTGGGTGATGGGCCTGGCGCTGCTCTAGCCGGCTTTGGCACTGGAGCCGTCCTGAGACCTGCCACTGACAGTCGGTGTCCGCCCAGGCTCGCTGAAGGATGTTGGTGTGTTAGGCTCCGAACTCTTCCTTCGCTTGCTTTGCTTCACCCGATCGCTGTAATACCTCTGAATGATAAAATCCTTGTGTTACACTCCTATCGCTGTACTCTCAGTTCTTTTCTGTTCCTCCGTCTCAGACTACACTGTGGTCCTCGCTGAATGCCAGCTCGCGGTGTTTCTTTCTCTCCCCGTAGACATCTGACATTGATAGTACACTAAGGATTCCAGGGTTGATGCAGTACAACGTCTAGCTTTTTTTGCATTCTTAATTGTATGTCGAATCCTCCAACAGAGCACTCCGAATTAGCACAAATTCCTCCTTCTACAGTGCTCTCATTAACAAAAGACTTTGTCACTGTCCTTTACAGTAGCTGATGATTCTTAGAACTTTTAGATAGCTTATCCTAGAATCCCATGGAGGCTCAAATAACCAAGGTCACTCTGGTTTGGAACCCGCCCCCAAGGAGCTTGTGTCTCTGCACTAGTGACCCGAGGATCTGTCCGCTTTCCTTTGATTCTACAGGAACTAAACAAATTGTAAAGGTAAGAGGAAAGTCAGTTCTCTAACTTGTGCAACGCCTTCCCTGTACACTTTCTGTCTCCAGGGCCTGGACCCTTCCCTGGGGTCATTGACATCTACGGTGTTGGAGGCGGCCTGTTGGAATACCGAGCCAGCCTTCTGGCTGGCCATGGCTTTGCCACATTGGCTTTAGCTTTTTATGACTTTGAAGATCTCCCCAAGGATTACAGCAACTTACACCTGGACTACTTCGAAGAATCCATGTACTACATGCTTCATCACCCCCAGGTTCTCCTGTCCTCTGTTCAGTCTCTCTAGAAACATCTCTGGATTGTAACCCGTGCCAGGGGCAGTGATGCTGCTGGGCTTTCATCACAGAGGTTTCTTTTGGAGGCTTCCTTGGCTTTGGGTGCCTGTTATTTTCATTTCTCCTGTCAAATGAGTTCATGGTGTAGAATTAATTGTTCATTTTGTAATATTAAAATTCCTCTGCAGTACAAATTGACCATCTCAATTTGCATGCTTATGTTTTCATCTTTAATGTGCTGATACCAGAGCACATTTTCACATTTTGACCTGATCACTGTATTTATAACCACTTCCTAAATTTACTAGTGACTTTATGCTTTGTTTCTGAGTGTTTAACCAGATATTCAATACTTAGGAAGAAATGCCCGTCAGGCAGTTCACAGATTGGAACTAGCACCATTTCTAATTGCATTTTGTTTTTTGAGGCAAGTTCTCAGTCTGTAGCCCAGATAGGCCTCGAATTCACAGCAATCCTCCTGCCTCAGCCTCCCGAGTGCTGGGATTACAGGTGTGCACCCCCACACCCGGCTGTAATTGCATTTTAGAAAAGCAGTTTAAACTTTTATTTGTGTGTGGTGCTGGGGATGGAATCCAGCGCTTCGTGCATGCTAGGCTCTCTACTGCTGGGCCACATCCCTAGCCCAGATAAACATTTTTCTTTATCTGATTCTTCTCTTTCTTCCAGGTAAAGGGCCCAGGCATTGGGCTTCTGGGCATTTCTCTCGGAGCTGATATTTGCCTCTCCATGGCCTCATTCCTGAAGAATGTTTCAGCCACAGTTTCCATCAATGGATCTGGGACCAGTGGAAACAGAACCATACACTACAAACAGACTAGCATCCCACCACTGGGCCATGACCTGAGGAGAAGCCAGGTCACTTTCTCAGGCCTTCTGGACATTGTGGACATACGGAATGATCTTGTGGGAGGGCATGAGAATCCCAGTATGATTCCAATAGAGAGGGCTGAGGGGCCCATACTCTTCATCGTTGGTCAGGATGACCATAACTGGAGGAGTGACTTGTATGCCCAGACAGCCTCTGAACGACTGCAGGCCCATGGGAAGGAGAAGCCCCAGATCATCTCTTACCCTGGGACTGGGCATTACATTGAGCCGCCTTACTTTCCTATGTGCCCAGCTTCTCTGCACAAATTGGTGAACAAAACTGTAATCTGGGGTGGGGAGTTCAGAGCTCACGCTAAGGCCCAGGTAGATGCATGGCAGCAAATCCTGTCTTTTTTCTCCAGACACTTGGGAGGTACCCAGAACAGAGTTTCCCCAAAATTATAATACATTTTCTCTTGTTCAAGTGGTAGATTCAAGGTTAGGTTCTAGTGTTTAGTAGCTGTGTGGAAATCAGTGGTCTCCTAAATAACATTAAATTCCAAGTCTTTGGCATTAATGCTGTATTTAAGTCATCTTATTGAATATGTTTCATTTGTCCAGGTAGTGTTTTACTACTGCAATGCATTCCTGTTGTAGAAAACTCAGGCATATACTACACAAGACAGTAGAAAAGCATCCTCATTGTTAAAGGTTTGGTTGTGTTCTCCTTTTTTATTGTTTGTACTGAACTAGTCCTTTATAAATTTTTTTAAATTTAGAGACAGGGTCTTGTTAAGTCACTAAATTGCCTGGGCTAGGCTTCAACTTGGATTCACCCCCCGCCCCCAGCACTCCCAAGCTGAGGCGAGACCATGGCTCATCTCAGCCCAGGTGTCAGGTAATGGGGTGAGAAACCTCCAGAGGATTCTAGCCCCGGCCATTTGAGTCTTCCCAACATAGCCTCCCAAACACCCTGAGCAGAGAAGAGTTATCCCTATAAAGCCTTGCTCAGAGTATGGAAATATGAACAAATAATTGTGTTCTTGTTTCAGGTAACTTAGGTTTAAAGTTTGCTTCCACTGCCTGTTGCTGTGTAGGAAAACACCCCAAAGCATAGTGGCTTGAAATCATACCCATTTATTTTTCTCAGAACTCTGCAAGGTTGGTAGGAATGGATCACCTCTGTTCTGGTGGCTTTGGCTGGGGCAGTTTGAGGGTGGAGGATCTACTTTCAGGGCATGGGTGCTATGCTGGCTGTTACCTGGGAACTCAGGAAGGGCTATGGGTGGGGGGGTTCTCAATTTCTCTCCACCTGGCCTTTTCACGGGCTATGTGGGGCTGACTCCCAAGAGTGAATGTTCCAAGACAGCGAGGCATAATTACCTGGCCTTGCTTGGACCTGGTCCTGGGAACCAAATGGCACCACTCCTGCCAGACTCTATTAGTCAAGGCAGTCACAGTGGCCACCAAGTTCAAGGACAGTACAGGACCCGCCTCTTGAGAGAACGAGGGTTCTAAAGAACATGTGAACTGGGAAATACTGTAGCCCACTTTGCAAAGCAGTCCACCTGGCCACACATGCCTCCTGCATGACAAACGCACCCACCCCTCATGTAAGACTGCCAAATTGCCGTTCATTACAGCACCATGCCCAGGCCGCAGCCAGGCCCAAGAGCTCTTCATCTGTACCAAGTCCAGGTACAGAGGGGGCTCCTTGGACAGTCCCGTGGGAATAGCTCTGTGAGCACTACTCATGTTCATCTGAATACCTGTGAAATAAACAAGGCAACGGTCCCTATGGACCGCATCCGCAGTGCGACGATGGGCATGGGGGACTCCTATCAGGAGTGCTCTTCAGCAGTGGGGAAAGTGGGAGACCCGGAACTACCACTCGGCCTCAGGAACTCAAATCCCCCCAACAGCACGCTCCGAGCTTCCTTAGTTCTCAGTTGACTCTGTATGAGCTGTTCTCTACAGCTCTTGTTCCGTCCTCTCATCTGAGATCTTTATTTACAATAATAGAACTGAATTTGGAACTAAAGTCTATTCAATCTGCTTTTTCCTAAATGAAAAGTTTTGGGAGGCCAGAGTCTGTCTGTCTGTCTATCTGTCTGTCTGTCTCTCTCCTGCAAGGTAGTGTGCTGGTCAACATGTCCCTTTATATCTGTCAACACCCATAGTAATGGACAACAATAAAACCTGGCCCATGCTTCATGGGCTACAACCATCTACCAACCACTTACCAAGCACTGATTGTAAATATGTGGCTTTTGCAGCGTAAAACATCTTTCAAGCACTTGAGAGCCATTCTCAGTGATGTAACCATCCAAAGAGTAAGACTTGTCTCCTACAATTGATGGCAGGATGGAACACCAATTTTGATAGTAGCCATAAAACACAGCTGGTCTAGTCTCATTGTAATCAATCCTTTGTACTTTTTACTTCTCTGTATCTGAGCTCCTGTGCTATCCTACAGTTATTTGCTTTTAGTTGGCTTTAAAAATTACTAATTTTGGAGGTCACACAGCTAAGCTAGATAAATTTTTGTTTATTGAGAGAGGGTCTTGCTATTTTGCCCATAGTGGTCTCAAACTCACAGGCTCAAGTGCTCCTTCTGTCTCAGCCTCCCAAGTAATTGGTGCTACAGACACACACCATTGTACCTGGCTTGAGCCATTATCACATGATTGGTAATGGCATGAGGCAACACCCGGAGACACAGGCTGTAGGAAAGATTAGAGTCTATTCCTCCTACATACAGGCAGGCTGACATTGGAGTGATACCAGTAAATATCTAAAGGAGAATCTGAGTATTTATACCATTTTAGGGTTGGGGTTGGGACTTTGATCACGGATGTTTATTAAAATCTTCCCGCCTAATGTCCCCTGCTTTCTTTCCATCCCTATAAATGGGGTGCACTTCTCTTTGTTCCCTACAGACAGTCTTTTTGTCTTCTGTCTGCCTGTACTCAGGCACAATATCCTATGCCATGTTGCCGTCACGCAATCCTGGTGGTCTCTGCCCCTTGCACCGTGCATTACAAGAGTGCCTGCAGGCCCGGGGTTAAATTCCTTCATTGCCCTCACTTCTTGTTTATCACAGGCAGCCTATTATTTCTCATTGTTTACAAGGGGAGACGGGTCTCTCAGGTCAGGCCGACGTTAAGTAACCCACTAACTTTGTTGTCACTGACACCTCTAACGTGTGGCTTGTGATGATAGTGGTTACCTCAGTTACTTTTCATGGATTTGAAGCCATTTTTGTTATAACTACTGACTGGCTGTATGCTAGGCCATTTTAAAAAGTTTCCTCTTCTTCAAAAAGCAAATATTTAAGTAGAGATGTAGCTCAGTGGTAAAGTGCTTACCTAGCATGGGTGAAGCCCCAGGTTCAATCATCAGCACAGAAAAAAAATGGCAAATATTCAATTATAACAAATCTTTAGAAACAGACAAAAGTAATAGCCAGTGTTGCTTGAGGAAAGGTGCTTCCCAAAGTGCAGACTTTTTTTTTAGCCAAAAACATTGTATTAATGATTAATTTTTGCTTCTAAATTAATATTAACCTTTCCTTGGGGACTTCTTTATCCTTGAAGACACACAGATTCCATGGAGAATCTTTGAAAGTGGTCTTGCTAGTTTAGTACTACCAGATCATAGCTCCTTAGTCCAGGCTAATTCCACATACCCATCTACCCTCTACTACTCCAAACCAAAAAAATGCACAAGTGTCTTTCTTTCTTTGGGTCTTATTTCTGAAGACTCTCATTTCATATAAAACTCATGGTAAATAAATGTGTTTGATTTTCACTTATTCATCTGCCACCTCTTGTCAGTCTCATCCATAAACCCAGTGATAGGTGAGAAAACAAATTTTTAAACCTGTGGTTTCCTGATTGAATTCATAATTGAAAAGCAGTTGGCTATTGGTCTCTGTCTGGCACTAAAAAATTGCTTAGTCTGCTACATCAGTAATGAAAAATCAAAGAAAAAAACCTGCAAAGAATCTTCCAGAAACTATAGGGCTGGGAAGTGCAGCTCCGTGGTAAACCATTTGCCTCACATGCATGGGGCCCTGGGTTCCATATCCAGCACTGAAAACTAATTTTTTTTTCTAAAAATGCTTCCTAATATGTTACTTATACAAGCAGACGAGACTAGCAAACAAACATAATTTTGTTACTCTATTCAAGGTTACTTGTAGGTTTGTCCAGTTCAAGCTAAAATATAAACTTCTAAGAGTTAACCACTAAACTCATTTGAAATAGAAAAAAAAAGCTGAAAAAAAAAGAGAGAGAGAGAGACTTTTTAGAGAACCACACTGCTGTGAATGCTGGGCCGTGGAGTCTTTTGTCCCACAGACGGTACAAATGAGACTGACAAACACTGTGAGCACGCACACTCTTGCCCAGGCCGAGCTGCACAGGGAGGGAAATAACTGGGCTCCAGCAGAAGGGAGCCAACGATTGGTCGGGAGAGTAACCAAGCTACAGTCACAGAAGAAAGAGACCAGCAGGTTTTTACTGACTTGTCGGGGTAAGCAAAAGTTGGGCAGTTTCCACTGGCCGGAGCATAGTTCAAAAGTTTTTGGTAGTTTAGTTTTCTTAGGTGCTGGACTCAGAACAGTGGGTAGTTGTGTTCAACTCACCCTAGAACAGCCAAATCCCCCACCCCGCAATTTTTTTTGACAGTGAAATATTCTTTTTTTGGTTTGGCTTTGCTGCAAATACACCCTTTTCTGAAAATAAGCATGCACATTGATGGAAATCTTACAAAGAAAAGTTAAAATGATAATTAAGCTGTAAACCAACAAGAATAAAAGCTTAAATGATATTGTGTAAAAAGATTACAGGTAAGCAGAGAGATTTTAATTCTAGAAAATGGTCATTCAAGTAAAAATCAATACATGAAAGGCAAACTTCATTTTGGTACAAAAATTTTTTCCACTACAATATTGTATAAACCTTTTGTGAGATCCATATGAGCACAGACTAGGAAACACTGTTCAAGTGACCTCACACAGCCACCTTTCTTTGTTAAAATCAGTTATAATCCATGTAATTCCAATGATAGATACTACTTAAAATTTAAAACTGGAGCAACCCCATGATATTGGAAGTATCACAGCTTACATTTATTTTGATCTTGTCAGAAATAAGCTCTGAACTAGCACTGTTAAAAATTATTTAACAAAGACATGGTGTTGATTTAAATTTCACTTTGCAGGGAAGAGAAATTAGATTGTCCTAAGAACATTTTTAACAAGCTTGACCTATGTCCCCATCCATAGTTAGGCTAACTGTGTTCTGTGGGAACAGGTACATATGAATTCTGTGTGCACAGACATGGCAGCACATAGAAACTGACTCACACTACACAACTGCCCAAGGGTACTGCAAGAGATGGCTTACTGTCTGATTTGGGAAAAGCAATGTAATACAGTCGGACAGTATTTCCTTCAATTATTTTTTTATCATGATTTAACTGGTGTGTTTCATCTGGGTCACTGATATAATTTTGAAAACAAAATCCCTAAGTGGTAAGCAGAAACATAAAGGATTGCAGACTACCATGTTTATAGTGT